TCATCATCATCATCATCATCAGCGGCATCGGTGATGATGATAATCATATCTGCTGGCGACAATGATTTCTCCCGAAAGCCATTCATTTGTCCCTCGTAAAAAATAACTGGTTCATACATTTCATTCCTTGTAGAGGCAAACACATCATCAATAATCGGTCGCCTTAGGTGTTGGGCACTCCACACACATTCGACGTTTTCAAAAAAAGACGATAAAACAGCTTACATTGCAGGTCGTTTATTTAACAAAAAATGCACAAGTTTACGCGTGAATGTTTACAGCTCCTTTGATCCTTTCGAGCGTCTCCATTGGATTCTTCGACGACCAGCTCCAAAATGTCAAGTCGTTGCTGACATCAGCTGATCCGCCTAGTGCCGTGAAAGTCTGCGCGTGTTCCCTGAGCCTGCAAATTGTGAATAATTCCAGTGAAATTCTATTTTTATATCAAAATAGAAAAAATTAGCATACGATTTGCACAATACAGCTAGTAAAATTTATTTCAATAAAACCCGGAGTAGACAAAGTAAGCTCTGAAAGCAGTACCTAGTGAAGACGCTTTAACCATTTGGCTGCATAATTCTCGTAAAAATCTGTTTTAAGAAGCGGACGATTTGCACTACAAACGGACCACCATCAGCCATAACCTCGTTGTGTTTACGATGTCGAAACGCCATGCAAAGTCACATTTTCACATGGTTGCCATCATACGGACTGTCTTAATCATCTTCATCAAAAGGGATTACGCAGAAAAGGACATGGAATGGCATGCAAGAGAGATAGGAGAGTGGAGAATTAATGTAGTCACACTGCGCGTCAGTGTACAGCAAAGCAGAAAGAGGTATCATTACCGAGAACAAAGACGGCGCCGATGGAGGAGGTGAGAAGAGATAAATATCCGCGGGGTTCCTTCATGCCGGCCACTGGCCCCGGGGACACCTGGCATCTGGTGGTGTGAACATCTCCACCACGTTTAATCTGCTTACACCATCATCAAATCCCCCGGCGACAATGATTTTCCCACGAAAGTGTATCGCTGCCAGCCCGTATCGTGCAGTTCTCATGGGTGCGGCTGGCTGCCAAAAGTCCGACAAGGTCGCCCTCTCTCGCCAGTCTGCTCGCAGGTGGCAGAACTCCACGGAAGCCAGCGTGGAGAGGAGTCATTATGACCGCCAAAAACGAAGACTTTACTGTCGCCGGGCAGGCAGGCAGGCAGGCAGCAGCTGTGTCGTTCCTCTTCTCTCGCAGATCGGGCAGTTTGAAGCACCTGTGCGTTGGGAAGGAGACGAGTGAGAAGGCAAAACAGGAAGATTCTGCAAGAAAAAAAAGGGAAGCGCCAGGACGAGTGTGCGCTCACCTGTCCCGACTGACTTCAAAGACTTCACAAGAGGAAAGGCATCCACCGTTGTATCCACTGAAAACGCCGATAAGCGCCTCCCCTCTGGATTCCGTCACGACAGCGGCAGCGTGCCCGTTGCGTCCAACGCCGAGGGACGCCCGTTTGCACCAGCGCCGTTCTCCCACCAGAAACTCCTCGACACTCGTGGAGAACCTCCCTTGCGCAGTGTCTCCTCCAACCACGAAAATACTCTCTTTCGTGGGGATGGGGTGGGATAGAAAAAATTTTCATAAAATTGCGCGGAAGAAAGACAAAGTTGAAAGGTAAAAGAAGATAGGAAAGATAAAATAAAAAGGCGTTTAGTTGACAGAAAGAGGGGAAATATCATCATCGGACAAAAAGACGTGGATGGACAAATCTCCCATTTGAGTGGCCGCCAGTGACGGACACAAACCACGCAGGTAGAGACACGGTTGGGTAAATTGCAGACGGAAAAAACAAACGCTTCGGGACAGGCCAGGCGAATAAACAACGCCAAGACCTCAAAACTCCTCAACTACTACTACTACTACTACTACTACTACTACAACTACTACTACTATTACTACTACTACTACTACTGGCAAAAAGAGACACCAACTGGCCAAATTAGACAAAGAGGAAAACAAGGCAGGTGCGCAGAAGAGGAGCTGCGTAACTGTCAGGCAACTCACCGCCCACGAGACTGTAAGAGGCCCATATGTGTTCCTCCATGTCGGCAATCCGTTCTTCCTTTCCCAGGTGCGGATTGAAACGCAGGACAGACCACCTGTGCTGAATTTTGTCCTTTCCAAATACGAATGAGATCGTCTGTGACAGTCTCCAACGTCGGTTGAAGGGACACGGAGGCTTGCGTTTGTCTGCGTAGGTGATCCACTGCTCAACTTTAGACATAAAACGAGTTTCATTAGAAAATAAATGACGAACTGAAACAGCATATACTTACGCACAGCTGGTGCCATCCTGGAACATTGGATGACTATCTACTAGGCGAATGCGGAATTGGACATTCGTCTGACACCAACGAATCTCCCTCAACATCTCCGCAGCGTGCAATCTCAGCCTCTCATTATCGCACTCTTTATCGCCAGCATCTACCCAGCTTGAAATGGCCTCAAAAACTGCCTCTTCGGAGTCAACTAACAGATTGTCGTTTCGCAGCAATTCAGCACGGTGCCAGCTGGCAGGCG